AATAAATGAAAATTAAACTAGAGACAAAAAAGGTCTATCAAATTCAAGGAAACAATTAATTAAAACTACATATCACAAAGGAAAAATTAAGACCCAAACAATAGCAATGAGAACAAACAAAAATTAGCAGCCTAATTAGGTGAAGAAATTTGTGATTACACTTGAACGATTGGAAGAGCAGCAATTTTTTTTTTCTTTTGGCCTCTAGAAAGGGATTTTAAGTTTAATGCCTAAGGTTTGAATAATTAATAAATAATTGAATACAGCTACTGAAATGAACTATCAGTTAAAAAGGAATATTAATCATATACACCATTTACTTGCCTGTCTACCTCTGCCACCATTTCCACCATCTGTATCTTTACAACAATTAAGAAATTCAATAATATCTTCCAGTAACAGAGCGAAGGTCGATTATCATCTAATGCAACAATTGGAAGAGAAACGAAAAGGGAACAACTCAAGTTAGTTGTGAGGTGAAGGAAGGAACCATGCAGATTCATTAATAAACAAAGTTTAGGAATGGTCAAGGGATAATGACAAAAGAATGTGAAAGAAAAGGAGAAGTTGGAAAGGACTTATCTATTTTTAAAGTTTGATTTGACATGGTGTTTATCTGCTAAACAATGTTATCAATTAGCTTTGGTTGCTTAGGACTCCATCTTTTTATTTCTACTAGATTTTAAGAGATAAAATATTATTTTGTGGTATTATCTTAGAGAAGTAATTTAGTAATTTAATTAAATTAAAATTGATTTTTTAAATAGATTTTTAGTCATTCAATTTATATTGAAATGTTATTAAATATATCAATTTTTTTTTTAAACAGTTTTTACAAGGGCCTGAGTCGAACCCAAATCAGGGGTGGGGGAAGTGCACCTGAAGTGGCTATTGCCACTTAGCTCGAAGGGCTCGATCGGTGCATCAATTTTTTAAAATATTTATAATTTTAATAAATGATTGAGATCTAACAATTGCAAAGCTTCGATCCAAGAGTTCTTAAGGTAAAGTGTCAGGATGAAACTTCTGAACACTTGGATCAAATCTCCATCAAAACTCA